TTGCGGTACGCGGGCCTCTCACCGCTGTGGCCTCTCCCGTTGTGGAACACAGGCTCCGGACGCACAGGCTCAGCGGCCATGGCTCACGGGCCTAGCCGCTCCGCGGCATGTGGGATCTTCCTGGATCGGGGCACGAACCCATGTCCCCTGCATCGGCAGGCGGACTCTCAACCACTGCGCCACCAGGGAAGCCCAAGTATATTATTTAAATAAATTTCATTTGTTTCTTTTTACCTTTCTTAATGTGGCTACTAGAAAATTTAAAATGTATTTGACATATATTATGTTTGCATATAATGTAATGTTGCAGAACACATCTCTTAACAATGCTTGGTTTACTACACACACACACCACACACACACCAGAATGAAACACTGGGTTGAAATCAGACACACACACACACACACTCACCCCAGAATGAAACACTGGATTGAAATCAGACACACACACACACACACACACACACCCCAGAATGAAACACTGGATTGAAATCAGACACACACACACACACACACACACACACACCCCAGAATGAAACACTGGGTTGAAATCAGACACACACACACACACACACACCCCAGAATGAAACACTGGGTTGAAATCACACACACACACACACACACACCCCAGAATGAAACACTGGGTTGAAATCAGACACACACACACACACACACACCAGAATGAAACACTGGGTTGAAATCAGACACACACACACACACACTCACCCCAGAATGAAACACTGGATTGAAATCAGACACACACACACACACACACACACACCCCCCAGAATGAAACACTGGATTGAAATCAGTTTTGGCTCTCCTGTTCAGCAATTTGTGCCCTGGCAAGCCACCAAACTCCTCTGTACATGAATGTCCCTATTTCTATAAGGAAAGAGCAATGCTTACAATTTTTTTTTAGCTGTAAAATGAGACGATATCAAAGTCAGTACACTTAACTGCTGAGCTATTATGCCTCCCAGTACTCACTAATGATACTTACAATACTTAAAATTTCCACCTCATAATTTAGTACTTCATTATATAAGGTCTCATACCACTTGCTTTACAAGAGTCAACCTATACAATTGATACCATAATTTGAAAAGGTAATATAAGGACAAAGACAGGTTTCAGACAACAGAATTTATTTTCCTTTTTATGTTAACTAAGGAAAACATTTCCTTTTAACTAAAAGATCTTAGTGTAAATGCACAGTACATGATACTTTAATACACAGAGCAAGAAAAAGAGACAGAGATGCTTAAAAAATAACTTACTTGATCACTGAGAAGAGAGTCCTAAAAAGCTGAATAAAAATTTCATTGCAATCTTCCAATTCAAAGCAGATGTTATATGATTTAACCCAAGCTAAATTCTTAAATAAATAAATAAATAAAATTATTTACACATACATAAAAGTTACACAAAAGCAAGCTCATTAATAAAATTTAATTTTTAGAATTATAAATCTATAGTAAAACTTATAATGGCCCAACGTATAAAATTACAATTGTTTAAACAGTCGTACTCTGATCTTTAAAAAGATGTATCTGCTGGCATTAACCTTCTCTAATTGAAAAATACTGTCAGAGGCTAGTAACACATATATACGTACAAAATATAGGGCACAGTGAAAATTAATTCAACTTAATCTCTTTGGGGATTAGAAAAGAATAAAAACAAATATAAAAATAAAGTTTCAAATAATATAACAGCTTTGCCAGTGGAATATGCTTTATCTTTTCAGGATATGAGGAGCAAAAAAAAAGATTGTAAATGACATTTTCTTAAGTGGGCTTCGTATAAAATAAACAAACAAAAGATTCATTTTACATTATAAAGTTACTATAAAGAATTTTCTACAACATGAAATAGTGTGATATTTATTAAATAAAATTTGTTTACCTCTAATAAATAAAAGTATCTATTAAACTGCGGGCTCTTTGTATCCTCCAAACCCTTTAATTGTCTGGTAATAAACAAAAATATGTCCTGTTTTAAAAAATGATAAAACATATTAATTTAGATGCAAATACTTGTCACTTTCACAATATACTAATAGTCTAAAATATATATTCTCCATTATAGACAATAAAAGAAAATTCTCCTTTAGCCAATGACTTGGGACTGCCCTAGTCCATTACTTAAAATATCTGGAAAACAGCAAATCACCTAAAATTACATTCTTTAGAAGCAAAAATAAAGGTTATTACTGCCACAAATCTTTAGGCTTTCTCATTCTGAGAGGACCATAGGTTCTATATCTTGCTACCCTTCTAGTACAGAACTTTATTCACTATCTTCATCTTGTATTATGGCAGTTATCTTCAGTTTAAGTACCTGGATATGAGTCTTCCATTACAATATCCCAAATTAAATAGTAATTTTCAGTACCTAGTTTTGAATTTGATGAGTGACTACAAAGTTGTGTGGAACAAAAGCAATAATAGACTGGTCCAAGGGTTGTACTTTCCACAACAATAGTGCTCCATTTCTTAATAAGCTTTCTTTAGAAGTTTTAACCCCAAATAGTATCAGTATGGAACAAACTGATTTTAGGACTATTTAAAAGAAAGCAATCCAAAGGATTAAAGTATAAAAGTATTCAAAATACGAAATCAGCTCAAGAGATCAACTCAAAAGAGGAGTTCCTCAAACATTTCAAACAAAGGCAGAACCATCAAGATGAGCATACAGTTTTGCATATAATATAACTTGCAGGGGAAAACAGTCATTTGAATGTGTAAATTCTGTTATATAGTTGTTTTAAAAAGTGTCATTCATCCACCATCCCTTCAATTCAGCCATCTGGGCTTTGAGATGGATATTCCTGAAGGTTAGATATGAGCGACAGGGACTAGTTTTGATCCATACCTTTTAATGCCACATAAAAATACCAATCATTTTTGTAGATACTCAATATTAATTGAATGAATAATTAATTAGTTTTAGAACTTATGATATAATCTTCTTACGGTCACAGGATGATTAAAATGAAACCTATGTTCCTAAGGGTAGTAAGCTAAACTATAAAAGTAAACCAATTTTGTAAATATTGTATTTACCTTAAGTTTATCGTGGGAAGTATATGGAGCTTCTGGGGCATAGATTCTAAAGATGTCAGCCAAACAGCATGCTACAAGGAGACGCACATCTTTATTGGGATTCCTGAGAAAAAATTCAGATGCTAGATGCAAGGCTAGTGGGAGATACTGCTGTTTTTCATCTTCTGAATCCTGATCCATATCCATAAAAGTTTTGACTACCATCTGCAAAAATATATAGAAGAAAAATATAATCAACTCTTGATATTTAGAAACCAGTGGAGTATATATATTTAATCATCTCCATTACAACACAGACTAGCAATCAGTTACCATCAAAGGATTCACAATCAATTTTTGTACATCTTCATTTAAGAATTCGAGTAAAGATTACAAGCGTGAACAAATGCCAACTTTTGGATTACTGATAGATACATTATCTGCATTTGTACCAGGTTTATGAAGAACTAAAGACTCTCGTTATTAATATTATATCTAGCCCCAGGTAAAAAGTTCATGGCTTCATATGGATAAGCAAATCATTTGATATTTCGCAACCTCATCAATTATGTTTCTTGTACATTTTATCATCAAAGCTGCCTTGATTTAGGCTCCTTAAAACTATTTCATTTCACACTTTAATGGGTTTTGCAATTCACAATAGAAAGCCATGTTCAAATATTTTTATGTAGTTGTACTTCTGATTAAAAGCCTTAATTATAAAATAACCTCTTCTTATTTATGGTTACAAAATTAACAAATGCACATTTTAGAATCACTCTAAAAGGCAAAAAAAGTATAATGAAAAAAATCCATAATTTCTCAACCCCAGAAAATAACCACTATTTATGTTTTTGTGTATTTTATGCTGGTCTGTTTTCTCTGTAAAGATGCAAATAACCATATAGTCATTCCTTATTCATTTATCCAATCATGATTATTTCCTCATGCCATCAAAATTCTTCTTTAAATAAATCAGACTTCACCTAACCAGTCACCATTCTCAAATATTGAAGGTGTACTTCTATATCTATTTTGACAAGACTTTTTATCATAAGTAAGTGCTGGGTTTTTTCAAATACTTTTTTCTGTGTCTACTGAAGTGATATTTTCCACCTAATTCTGTTACGAGAGTAAATCCCACTGACTGGTTTTCTAATTATAATCCAATTTTAATGTATAACATACACTGTCCTAAAATATAGACAGGTATAGTATGAATGACCTAACCTGGAAAAAACAACACAGATGAGGATGACTGTAAATCACTATTCCTTTATGAGCCTAAATACAAACGTCAGGAATGGCATCTTAAAGAACTGAATTCGGTGATTTTGTTATAAATGGCTTTGTGCTCATACAGAGCTTGGGGGTGGGGAAGGAGGAAGGGAACAGTAAAAGTGGAAACAGTCAACATCTGGAGAATACAGGAGCTCTCTACTATTCTTGCAACTTTTCCAAGTCAGAAATTATATCAAAAGAAAAAGTCAAAATTAAAAAAGAACACATTTACCACATGATATGGGACAAACATACATATATATATATATATTTTTTTTTTCAGTACATGGGCCTCTCACTGTTGTGGCCCCCCACTTTGCAGAGCACAGGCTCCGGATGCGCAGGCCCAGCGGCCATGGCTCACGGGCCCAGCCGCTCCGCGGCACGTAGGATCTTCCCAGACCGGGGCACGAACCCGTGTCCCCTGCATCGGCAGGCGGACTCCCAACCACTGCGCCACCAGGGAAGCCCAACATACATATATTAATAGCTGAAATGAAAGCTCACCAAATAAGACTTGTCTTTTAAAAAAATTTTTAACAAATAACGTTAAATATTAATCGGGGGTGGGGAAGATGTATTATTCTTTTTCTGATTTTAATAGAACATATTTATCTGTGCATCACTAGTTTGATATAGAGATGTTAATAATACGGAAATAAAATCATATTTATAAAGTATTCTAATTCTACTTTAAAACCTTTTAAATCAGAAATGCATATGGCATAGTGATTTACAGTCATCCACATCTGTGTTGTTTTTCCCAGGTTAAGCCATTCATATTATACTTGTCTATATTTTAGGACAATGTGTGTGGTGCATTCCCTTCTGAAAGTTTTGAATCCTAGTGAATTCCCAAGGACCAGATGTTCTTTTTAAAATTATTATTTCTTATTACACTATTACTTCATCCAGAGCTTTATTTCTTTTAACATGTTTTGAAATATTTGTGTTTATTCCACTTGATTTTAACATTAACATATAGCTGAGAAAAATGTTATCCAGTTTTAGAAGTCATTTGTTTCTTTAACCTAACTCTTGTCAGGAAAAGAATTTTTATCTGTTTTGTTAACAGTTGTATCCTCAATGACTAGAACAGGACTGGCACATAGTAAGCTTGCAAGCTTTTTTTTTGAAAGAACATTAAAATTTATGACCCGGAGCAAACCACGATTTGAAAAGATACATGCACCCCAATGTTTACTGCAGCACTGTTTACAATACACATGGAAGCAATCTAAATGCCATTGACAGAGGAATGGATAAAGAAATGTGGTAAATATATACAATGGAATAATACTCAGCCACAAAAAAAGAATAAAATAATACCATTTGCAGCAACACAGACGGACCAAGACTGTCATACTGAGTGAAGTCAGATGGAGAAAGACAAATATCATATGATTATCACTTATATGTGGAATCTAAAAAAAAGGTACAAATGAACTTATCTACAAAACAGAAATAGAGTCACAGATGTAGAAAACAATCTTATAGTTACCAGGGGGGAAAGGCAGGGAATGATAAATTGGGAGATTGGGATTGACATATACACACTACTATATATAAAATAGATAACTAGTAAGGACCTACTGTGTAGCACAAGGAACTCTACTCAGTACTCTGTAATGACCTATATGGGAACAGAATCTAAAAAAAGAGTGGCTATATGTATATGTGTAACTGATTCACTTTGCTATACAACAGAAACTAACACAACATTGTAAATCAACTATACTCCAATTAGAAAAAAAAAAACCAAAGCAACAAAGTAAAATGTTAAGATTTGATAAAGGTGAGTGGTAGGTACATAAATGTTTGTCTTATTATTCCCTACGAATGTTTGAAATATTACAAAATTATAAGGAGGCAATTTGATTAGGTAAAACGAACTTTTGTTTTTAAGGTTTGGGGTGCAAGTTTCCAATATGACTTGAGCTACTTGGGAGATTTTCCAGAACGGCTGTTTCAACCATGTTCCAACTTTGAGGTTCCTAGCCCTGGTAGAGGCAACAAGACAGCCAAAAAGAGTGGTGTGACAGGCACATGCCCAGGGTCTCTCAGTTGCTTGCCTCTGAGCAGCTGGCTTTTCATTAGCTTTATATATTGACCTTCTGTATTTGGGCAGTACAATATCCTAAGTTGTAAACCATTGCTACCCCTCATAAAAGCCAGGAAGCTTTGCGTGGGGGAGGATTGGGAGTTTGGGATTAGCAGATGCAAACTAGTTTATATAGAATGGATCAACAACAAGGTCCTACTGTACAGCACAAGGAGCTATATTCAATATCCTGTGATAAACCATAATGGAAAAGAGTATGAAAAAGTATATGTATAACTGAATCACTTTGCTGTACAGCAGAAATTAACACAACACTGTAAATCAACTATACTTCAATAAAATTTTTTAAATTCATGAAATGTCTTTTTAACATCTACTCTGATAATATATATCATGTATATTTTTAAAAATATGATCCATATGTCCCTACCGTTCCGGCAAAAAACTTCATCAGTTCTAGACAATCAGTATATTATGTCTGTTGCTCGAAATTTGTTTAGAATTTTTAAGTAAATATAGTCTAAACATAGGTCTATAGCAGGGGTCACAACTCAAGGGGAGGGAAATGGAAATAACCACTTGGGAGAAATGGAGAGCACATGCCCCATCCAAAGACAAGAGCTGGTTTCAGCTAATTGTTGCCAGGTGAGAATGCAGACCTAGTACTGCAAAATCATTCAGTTGATGAGGACACAATAAAACGTTAAGTGAAATCATCCGACTTGAGAATTTCAGCAACTCCAAAAAGTTCATACCATTGTGAGGGACAAGCAAAACATGTCTATGTGGTCCTCAAATCAACAATTTGCAAATTGTTAGAAATATTTCAAAGTAAAAATGTCAGCACAGTCAACTTTTCAGGTAGACAAATTATTCTGAAAAGCTGTTTTGCCATTTCTTTTATACTTAGTTTTCTTGAATTAGTTATAAAAGATTATGAAGAAAATATTCAATAAACTGAACATCATTAAAATCCAGAGAGCCTTCAAAATATTAATGAGGATTTTTATAGCACATACTCCTAAACCATACCACAGAAAATATCAGTAACATTTTCCACGCCCAAAAGTAATGGTAAAGACAGACCACTTTAGAACCTACCAAAAAAAATTAATTCCCAGTGGGATAAAAATCAAAATTTGAAAGGGACATCTAAGAAATTTTTTAAAAATTAAGAGGGGGACTTCCCTGGTGAAACAGTGGTTAAGAATCCACCTGCCAATGCAGGGGTCACAGGTTCGTTCCCTGGTCCGGGAAGATCCCACATGCAGCGGAGCAACTAAGCCCATGCACCACAACTACTAAGCCTGAGCTGTAGAGTCCACGAGCCACAATACTGAGCCCGTGTGCCACAACTACTGAAGCCCGCGCCCCTAGAGCCCACAGTCCACAAGAGAAGCCACTGCAATGAGAAGCCCGTGCACCACAAGGAAGAATAGCCCCCACTCTCTGCAACTTAAGAAAGCCTGTGCACAGCAGCAAAGACCCAACGCAGCCAAAAATAAATAAATAAAATAAATACATAATAAGAGGGACTCCCCTGGTGGCACACTGGTTTAGAATCCACCTGCCAATGCAGGGGACACAGGTTCCAGCCCTGGTCCAGGAAGATCCCACATGCCACAGAACAGCTAAGCCCGTGTGCCAAAGCTACTGAGCCCGCGTGCCCCAATTACTGAAGCCCGCACACCTAAAGCCCGTGCTCTGCAACAAGAGAAGCCACCACAATGAGAAGCCCATGCACCACAAGGAAGAGGAGCTCCCGCTCGCTGCAACTAGAGAAAGCCTGCATGCAGCAATGAAGACCCAATGCAGCAAAAAAAAAAATTGAGTAACTTTATGATCTTGAAAAGGAAGGATTTCTTAAATCAAGACACAAAAA